GGTACCCGCCCTCGAGTCCAAGCCCAGAAAACTTTTTTCGATATCCGCCCCAACTCCACCCACGTCCGTCCGCAGCGGATATGCCTCGTTCCCTTGCTCTCTTCTCCTGTTCCAACCCACGCCTACCTTTCGATCTTTCACCCTTCCCTCTCAAGTCCTCCCGTGTTCAGGGCTGGGACCATTTCGATTTGCTGAGCACTGGTTTCTACCTGGCAGAGGCGGATCACTGATCACTGGTTGGGGTTGGTCATCAATCCATATGGATTTTCCATGGGGCCATGAATTGCCGGGATTCCCATTGTGGGATGCACGACCATGACCAGCCATATACCACGTTTTGACCATGGCGCACACACACACAAACACATGTATACAATCTATGCACAGAGAGAGAGAGAGAGAGAGAAAGAAAGATAGATATTTAAACAAAAAACTGGGGATGAGACACTTGAAATCATTGGATCTCCAGTTGAAGGGCTGAAGGCCTCTGGGGATTATATGAATTTGGAACGTGATCAACGCATTCGAGCGTAGACCAACGACGTCTTTGGGACTTGCTGGGAATGACAATGAGATTTTGTTAAAGGTATTGGAGATTGCTTTAGTATCACTATGTATCATTCATTGCAGGGGATGCTCAGGCATGAGAAATAAAGCAATGACAGATTCGATCATTAATGATGGAATATGATTTGCATATCATCATGAACATCCACTATGAATGGAATATGATCAACAATCTATATAAATATACTCGTACAGCGTACATATAAAATCATATAAATATACCCTCTGGTAAATAAACATAGACCCTGAAAATCACCAATTTTTAATGGAAACTAGTCTTCCAACCCCTATCTGCCAGGGTCTATGTTAATTTACCAGAGGATATATGCATATATTGCTAATATCATATCTCGCCATCAATGACGGCCGGTTCATTTTGGCTGGGATTTGCAGGCCATGAGCCCTTCAGCCATGCGAGGAATCGGCGTAGGCCCAGGGCATCCCAGGGCCATAAGCATTCCATTTTCAAGTACACCTAGTTTTGTGCCCAAGTTAGCAACATTTGGAAGATGTTGGAAGGGTCTCCCCACTTTGGCTCGTTGATGGTGAAAATGCAGTAGTGATATAACCGATTATGTTCGTGCTGAGCTGAACCAAAGGAGGGAGGGAGGGAGGGAGAGAGAGAGAGAGCTGTAGGTAGGACTGGAAGGATTATTCGAGTTTGTTTGGATTGGTTTAGGAATATGCAGGAAACTATGGTTTGTTTGTTTTTTAGTTTTTGCCATCATTTCCCATCACATCAAATCAAACGCGGGTGTCCTGTAGATCCTCCCTTCATCAATCAAGCGTTTGTCAACCTTTGGCACACAGACTTTGGCCTAACTTGTTGCAGTCACTTGGACTTGGCATGGGTCAGGTATTGCTGCCCCAGACCCCTTCACAGGCAGGTTTCTGTAGTTGGGTTTGCATTCATTTGACACTAAGCCTTCGTGAGATTGATATGATGCCATAAACATCCATAAACATCGAACAAGTGCAAGTATCAGGCATGTTTCGAAAGTCTTGGGGAAATGTTTAAAGGCGCTTGTCATCAACCCCGGTGTTTGGAAACGTCGCTTTCGCGACTGTCCTGCATTTTCCTGCAGCTGAGCCAGGTGGTACCGCTTTGTCATGGGAGAAGGCCGAGGATATGGACCCAAGTGCTTCCTGGAACGGGTCTCAGCGAACGAAATTGGCTGGATGCTGGTGGTTTCAATGTGTTTTTTTTTCATGGTCAACATTGGTCAACCATAATTGGAATGATCATGGATGATCAATGACCAATATCGGATGGGTTGATGTTGATGCACGATGCCATCATTCCAAACCTTTGGGTCGGATCATGAACTCAAAAGTTGTGACATGATGTGGCACGTATTGACTGACATGTACTTTTTGTAATGTGGAGGGCTTATTTTGGTTGGGAGTTCACAAGAGTTTCTGATGTCTCAGAGCCATCTCTATCTGGGATGACCTCGCACCAATTCACACCATGTTTTTTCGGAAAGGTTTAGTTGGCTGATAGTTGGCTGATGTTTATCGTTTTTTTGGGGGTCATCATTGTAATCATAACCCCAATCCTTTCAATAGTAAAGCCATCACAGATCCCATACCAGCCATACCAAACCAGCCGAAGAAATCGCGTCGGTTTATCTAAGGTGGGGAACCCATCCAGTTGGGACCTCAGCCGTTTGAACTGAGCCGATTCGAAATCGGTGAGATCTGTGTTGCGCTTGGCATCCAAACACCAGAAACAAATATCACAAGAAAACATAAGAAAACCCATGGATACCCATAGTTTATCATCACTTTCCCTATTCAAGTACCATTTGGCGGATATGCACACCCAATGGGTCAGAGGCAACTCGTTTTTTCTTTGAATTCCGAGGCCGAAACGCAGCAGGGGTGGCTGAGTCAGGGGCTTATCTTATCGTTGCTGTCCAAATAGGATATAGGCGATATAGGATGTTGAAAATACAGTACTTAGAACTGCAGGTTGGCTACAGGGAGTTGAGTGGGATGCATATGCAAACCATTCCTACCTAGTAGGGCGATGCCGATTTGTTGTGTTAGCGTTGGGCGTGTTGCTAAAAGCGATGCCCTGGCAAATATGCTTGTATTCTTGGAGATTTATTCCGGCCCGCTTTGCAAGCTACAATGATCTACACTGCAACAAGCAAAACTGCTCACAACAAATCAGAAAATCCAATGATGACTTCAGATGTCTAAAGCCTCAGTTTCCCCATGTTTCCCCATTGAAAATCATCATTTGATGCAGCCAATCCCCCAATGTTTCCCTTTGAGGCCAAGCCGAAGCACCCAAGGTGCCGTTCTTTCAATCCCTGCGGGGATGGGCCACCCTCAGCATTTTTGTTTGCAGCTTTGTTTTCCAAAATAGTCCATTTTTAGGGTTAATGATGGTTAATAAACAGATCATTTAATTCTAATATTCAAATCTTAGTTGTATACAATCCCGGAAAATCCAGGGGTGGGATGATTGGATATTTTTTTGGGACGGTCATGAATTTTAAGCCATGGGGATGAGCAATGGAAATTTAACGATATCATCCATATCCGGCATGTTTTGGTATGAAAGCCAGGGTATTCTAGATTGAAACCTCAAAGGTCCCCTTGCAACTCATAGACCCGCGCCCTTGGATTCACCTTGCTGTGGGACCATCAAAGACCTGTCAGTGATTCAGGAAGCATCCCCGCCTGCAGCTGAAGGAGGTCAGACTTGCAGCATGCCTGCGATTTGAACAACTGTTGGTATCTTGCTGTACTGGTAGCAGCTGTAAATTGGCAAAAAATCGCACAAGGGGAAGAAAAAGTCGATGGCCGGAGCCTTTTTGCCCAGCAGATGGATTGTGTCCAAGGCTGGAGGGTGCCCACCAAACTCAGCGGACTTCCAAACGCAGGTGGTGAGACTGAGAGCCAGACGGAAGAGACTATCGAGTTCACCAAGCGCTCTATGCTTAGCTGCTCTCAAGCATCAGCAGCTTCCTTGGGTGGGCATCCCAGTTAATAAGCGAAATATGCACTAGTAATCAATATATTACATATATATAACATTATATAACCATATATAACCATTCTTGTGCCATACAAAGATTATGCCCCGGTTCATAGTTGATATTTTTTTTTCATTGGATACACCCCAGTTGCACATGGATTGAGTCAACTCAGGCAACCAGGCGTCCAAAGTTGATGCCATGATGAGCTTGCAGGCACTGAGTTTGGGCATGTTGAGTTCTTCGTTTTTTTCTGTTTCTTTAGGTACGTAATGGTACGTTAGTATACCGTACGTCGTACGTAGTATGATTTACTGTAGCGTAATGTCTAGTGGTTTATCATGTTTTGTCATGTTTTGTCAGAGTATGTATGCATATAGTCAATTATGGTAGATATACTGTATATATATAATATATGTATATAGTATATGTCAAATAGTATTAAAGTTGCATATAGAATCATATGGTTGCATCTTGTGTAGATTCTGTGATCATGCAAGTTGCCACACATTTCCAGCCCTGAGAAGCCCGAGGTGGAACTCCCACCTCTTCCAGCGTCAAGTGGTTCCAGGTGGGATGATTTAAATGATTTGGTCGAGGTGTTGCTTGGAGCATTGATGGGGATTGTTTCAATTGTTTCGCTTCAGGAGCAACGATCAGCTGATCTCTGGCGGTGTTTTGCAGCTCGGCAACCGGTCAGCCGAGCACAGCATGAGCACAGCATGCTGGACTTGGGGCATCGTGCCACCATATGACACCCAAGGCCGTCAGAGAAGAAGCACGTTGACATGAGCTTCGGTTCTTTGGAGATGGCAACGCAGCTGGTTCATGCGAAGGTTCTGGTGTGGGCGAAATCCATTGTTCATCATTGGTGGTTCTGCTCATGAGCTGGGAACAACGGGAAATTGATTTGACAAAGCTAGTTGCGAGTTCCACATGTCTAAGACACAGCTCTTGTGTCTCTTGGGCGTGGGCCATCAAGTCTGTCTAGCAGCCTAGCACTGCAGGGTGGTGGCAGCCATGGCAGCGGGCCTAGTTGGGCAGTGCAGTGTTGCAGCTTTTGAAGGCACACATGGCAGAAGAGTTGTATCTTCATCATCAATTAAGCCCGCTTTGGCGAACAGCTTCAAAGGAAAAGGGTGCACTTGGCGATGAAAGACCATTCTGTCCATTCTTGATTTTGTTCTATATATCCATTGTGGGTGACATGTTTATATACATATATATATTTATATTATATATATATATAAATCAAATAATGCTAAATGGACATGGTTGATATATGATGGATCCAGTATTGTGCCTCTTCTGGATCAGGTCCCAAGTTTATTGCCCTCAACTTGAAGTTGCACGGATGCTCAGAGCATTGCTGATTGCTTGAAGATCGGTACAGCTATTTGTGCCATGTGCCATGAGCTTTTAATCCTCATGGCTCCAGGACTC